GTGGATTGAATGTCATGGATACATACCACTCCTAAACTTTTATCTGTTTGCACTGGTATCTGTGCCAGCTGCATCTCCACCTACCTAGAGACCTTCTGGTTATGGAAACCCACAACTCCAGTGATATTTTACTTCTGTAGAGGTGCATTGCTTACACCCACCTTTGAAACTAAAGAGACAACAAATTATCTTACTTGGTACAAAAGAGGGACCCCTATCTCAGATGGGGAGTAGTCCCCTTTTGTGTGATCTGCTGAGACCTGATAGTTCAATTAGCAAAGGCAAAGAACACCTTGCTTATTTTTTGAGTCGGATACAATTTATCTGTAGCACTGAAAATGGCAACCAGTCACTTTTGCTCTCTTCTGCTATCTCGGTTTATGAGCTTGAAGGGTTTGCCAAGATGTGAATCCAGGTTCAGACACGGGGCCTGTGGCAGTACCATGACCTTGGCTGCATGACATTCCTTATCTCCCTTTTTGCTAATATCTCTGTTGGGAATCTTGCATAGATAAAAATAGGACTTGATATTCACTACAGCATCTGCTTCTCCTTTCCAGTGATTTGCAGACACAGACTTGCCAAGTGTCTAGTGACTCATTTATTTGGGAGAAAAACCACCACAACAATACAATCTGCAAACCCACAATTTTCCCACTCCCATGTAAGAAGCATTTTTAACAGCCACTCAGACCTCATGTAGAACAGCTATTAGCAACCTGCTTCTGTTTTTCCCCAAAGAGTGATGAACACAACTCCAGGGGCCCAACTTCTATTGCCTTTTTCTTTTGGTAGCCACTTCCTCCATACAAACTATAAGTGACACACCAACCTGGGTCCAGAGACCTGACTTAGTCAGCAGAACTTGAGGGGACAGGCATGGACTAGGCTGGTGGAGCTGCCAATACTCTGTCCTTGGCAGGAGGCTGGAGACTAAAGCTCAAGTATGCTAATCTGCTTTGCTGCTCTGTGGTCCTGGCCCAGTCATCCATTTACCCAGTGTAAAGCTACGTCAGATGTGTTTTTTCAGTAGCTTGTGTAACACTGCACTGGGTGCTCTGGAGTGGAGTAAGTGCTGCGTTGCTCTGAGGATGTTTTTTAATTGAATGCACTTGGTCAGCAGAACCTTTACTAAAACAATAAAACATAGATAGAATAGATTTTGGAAAAAGAAACAGCAACAACAAAAAACAATCAAACCCCAAACCAAACCAAACCAAACAAACAAACAAAAAATCAGGATAAGGAAAAGAAAAATTTCTATGCTCTATGAACAAAGAGACCAAACTTTTGGCACTTACCACTGAATGCAATGTGATTCTCTGTACTCCAGCAGTGCAGTAGTTGCAGGTGGACTGAACCCTCAGACATGGGCTATTGCAAGGCCAGATCCAAACCAAGGAGCCACTAGAAAAAAGCCTATTCACAAGCATAAAGAGAAAAAGAGCTGAATTTTCTTTGTTTACTGCCACTCGGGTCTGAAGACATAGGCAGCACTCCAAAAAATCATCTTGCTGATGCACACAACAGTTGAGAGGTCACCAAGAAGCTACAGCGTTGGTGAGTTGCAGAGCAGGAGTCAAGAGTCCTAGTGCTTTGCTCTATACACAAACAGTAAAAGGAGGAGATAAAAAATGCCTCAGACGGATCAATGCCTGTCGCTTATAGCTGTCAAGAAAGCATATCTGAGTTTCCCTGATGGGAGAAGCAGATATCTCAAAGACTATCTCCAGGGAAGGGCTGGTGTTTCCCCAAGTCCTTGGGAAGAAACATTTCCTGTCATTTCCCGTTGAATTCTCTTCCGCAGCTTGTCAGGCTAAATGCATACCTACAGTGCTTCTGATTGTTATGAGGAAACCAAAAAGCTGGGCTTTGTTTTCTAAGCAAAAATCCTCCAACCCTCCACCACCTCACCTACATGTACAATCTAATCCATACCTACCTCCATTTGAGTATCCCGCCATCTCTTATTCATGATGCTGAAAAGTCCTGGAACAATTAAATACTATACATGACTATTTTCTACTCAGGAAAAAAAAATTAAAAATATTGGCATTCTATTTTTAAATAATAAATAGAAAATATTTATTTTACAGCATTTTCAAGATCATTTTGACAAAAAGGCATTTTCATCCAGCGTTTGACAGACTAAAAGAAAGAACTTTTACAGAAAGCTTCATAGCTCATACAACTGCATACACAAGGTGAGTTCTCGATCTTTAGATATATTTACGTATGTGTATGTTTCCACTTTTAACAATTACAAACTAAAAGCTAATATACTGAATTTTCAAGAAAACTCCTACTTGTGATATAATTACATTGCAGTAATAAAATCAGTGCTTAATATGTTCAAAACAGATATGAAAACAATATTGTACCTTGCCCCAATGCCATCTCCTCATCTATACAGATCTTTTACATTTCTTTTTCTTCTTTATCTCAGTTCTTCAAAGACTGGCTTACTAGTATCAGATCTCTGCTACTAACAATGCATGTTTTTGGAAACAGCACAGCAGATCTTATACTATGATTATTAGAAGATAGAATCCATTGCCAGTGTGGTGATCAGCAAAGAAAATACAGCATTTTTTTCACTGTTTTAATAAGTAATCCGCATTTAAGAAAAAAAAAGAAAAAAAAAAGAAGCAACAAAAAAATATCCCCCTAAAAGCTCCAAGCAGGAAAAAAAACCCTCAACCAAATAACCCTCAGGCATCCTCAGTTCATTACAGAGACATCAATATTCTGACAAAGACAGAACTGTGTCTTTGGGCAAAGTCATTTCATGCTTATCATATCAGGTCGACAATAGTAACTGGCCACTAGTTGTGTTGAAGGGAGCAAACACTATGAAAAGAGGATGAGGAGAAAAGACTCTTTCTGGTTTTGAGCACTGGCCAAACCTTCCAATACCAATACTGCATAACTAGGCCAAAACTATGAGATTTGGATCTTTAGAGAGGAATTGATAACTGGCAGCAGGTCTTCTTAAAATTCAAGTGAAAAGCAAAAAAAAAAGAACAGAATTATTCTGAATTCAGAAAAAAACTCCGATAAAGTATTCACATGTGGTTAAAGCATGGTTAAAATCAGGTTTTGCAACTATATTACTCTCAGGAAGAGATTCCTTTAAAACATTTTTGGAAATAAAGTGTAGAACTGTGGGATAGGTCCTCAGCTGAATTCAGCATCACAAGCAAAGATCACAGCATCTAAAATCCTGACCTGTGTATATATAATAAGCACATTTATAAATAGGGTAATAACCATTATAATTAAGTTAAAGCCACAGCAAGTAGACCTGGACTTTGATCATGCCAGTCATTAGGGAGCTTTGGATTAGACCCATCTCTAGGAAACATACATATCTAGGAAAGATACAAGAGGAGGAGGAATAGTAAATGACAGAACTACAGCCGCCTAGAAGTGATCTTTAAGATGCTATATTGCATATTAATACAAGAATTGAAATCATATGGAGAGAACATGCAACTAAACATCATAAATTGTTTAAAAGAACTGTCTATAACACAACTTGGGAGGTTATGCACACATTAAGCACTGATGAAATTTCCTGTCCGGATGTGATTTTATTTTAAATTATCTGAAGCAGTGAAATAGTTGAATTACTTTTCCTTTCTCACCTGCAAGATTTCTAAAACAGACTTACAGACTTTTTGCTTTTTGAGTTTTCTTTTTTCCTTTTTTTTTTTTTTTTTTTTTTTTTTTTTTTTTTTTTTTTTTTTTTTTTTTTTTTTTTTTTTTTTTTTTTTTTTTTTTTTTTTTTTTTTTTTTTTTTTTTTTTTTTTTTTTTTTTTTTTGTTAATCACACTTGCTGCAAACATGTAAAATAACAAGATCTCAATGCACTGGTTTATTAATACCATACGTCTACTTCATAAAATATCTGCAAAGCACCCTAATATAAGGGTAACAACTGTCTCAGCTTGTATATGAAAAAAAGAACGTGTCAGCACAGCATACAAACCTCCAAATATCTATCGAATATTTGTAACAATGCAATATAAAAACATGATTTCAACATAAAAATATTCATAGTATATAAGACAATCTTCCAGTGGTAGTTATTGGACATTACTCCTCAGGCATACCATACACACGCATACAGATACACAAACGTACGCTCACTCCACTCTCTTGTTTTGGGGCTGGCTCCGTAACCCCCAGCATGGAATTACCTCTTTTTCAGATTAACAGTTGTTGCTCTAAGTATACAGCTATTTTGTAATGTATTTGATTCCAACGTAACACAAAGGAATGATGCAATGACCTGGCAAAATATGTTACTTTATGAAAAGATAGTCAATAAATACTGTTCTGCTACAGGAAACATTGTGTAACAGTATAGCCACATGGTTTGCAATCTTATACAAAAGGGCAGTTTTTATAAGTCCTTATCATATTACAAGTACTACAGTGAGGGCTTTCTTCAGAAACCTCTTGAGTCTCAATCATGTTTACCAGTCAGTTCACAATCAGTGTTAAAAAAGCCCAGACCCCCAAAAAGCAGCCTAGTATGAAGAACAAACCGTTCAGACAGAAGTCAGTAAGAGCCATGTGCTTTCACATTATCTCAGCTCCTCTCCCCCAAACACCTTCTGCAGCTATGTCACCTGTAGAAACCAGGAAAAAAAATATTTTTGCATATATGTCTCATATACAAGTAGCTCCGTTCCCCCTCACCACACTCCACCCTTCCAGCTCCTGGGTGTGTTGCTTCCGTAGCAGACAGACAGCAGTCATGAGGTGTGCTAATGACTTCTCCAGGTCACACTTCCCAGAGTCCTTTCTAAGCATTGCCAAAAGAGGGTGTGACTACGTGTGATTATATTTTTTTTCCTGTGAGTTTATTATTTATTTTTTTTGCTATAGAAGTTGTCTCTTGGGTTTGTGCTTTGTTATGGTTTCCTAACATTTTTCCAAAGTACAATATTTTTATTTCTAACAGATAGAGAATCTTGAGCCCTCAGAATGGATTTTTTTGTTTCATTTTAGGTATTTAAGTACAGGAAGAAATTTTTGCCCTGTCACTTGTGACTTTGTTCTCTGCTCACTCTCCCAACAGTCTTGGGAGACTTGTCTCCTCAAATCCTCCCAAAGGGCAGCTGCCGAAGTCCATCCTGTCTTTTCTCTCGCAGCATCTACAGGGTGGATGAGCTTTGCTTATAATCCCTCAGGATGACAGAGGCATAGGTCACATCTGGGGGTGTGCAGAGCACCGACTCCGAGACAGGGGAGCTGGGCACTGAGCTGCCTGAAACCACTGAATCACGGAAAGGAGATGGGGGCGTCAGTGCCGGAGAGTCTTCCAGAGTCAGTTTGCTGGTCACCGGCTCCTCGTCCTCCTCCTCCTCTGTGTTTTTCTCATACACATATCCCTGAATGAGCTTTACCTTCTCACTCTCCGCTTCATCAGCTGGGGGAGAGAGGGTCTCCTCGCTGAAGGCAGCCACCTGGAAAGGCTGCAGGGGTGACTGCTGCGGTGGCGGGGGCTGGTACGGGGGCCGCACACCGTTCCCTGAGCCGGGAGTGGGGAGGGCGGCATTGAACTCTGTGGTGCCAGTGGCAAACTTGTTGACCACTCCTTGCAGCTGGTCCATGAGAGACTGTGGCTGCAGGGGCAGGGTCTTGGGGGACTGCTCAGGCAAGAAGAGCTGGGTCTCCTCTGCTGTGGCCTGCAGAGGTGGGGTGGTTGCCACCCGTCTGTGCACCATCATGGAGGGGCTGCTGGCCTGGTTGAGGAGAACAGGCTCTCTATCTTCTTCCTCCACCACATTGCACAGAGTCTTACTGCTGATGTCGGTAAAAGTCAGGCTTTGGCCATGGTAGTCTTTAGTGAGGGGTTTGATCACTGCTGTCTGATTGCACCCTGTCTCCTGGTTCTTCACATGCACTGAGAGTCTGTGCCATGTATGTTCCCCTTTGGGATCTTGTCTTCCACCTGGTTCAGACCATGACACAGACTTTCCATTAGAACTATAAATAAAATAAAGATGGGTTTATTTACATTTACATTATGCGGACACAGGCAGTTTAACAAACAAGCCTATGAAAATACTGATTGCTTTGCATCATTAATAAGCCCCCCCCCCTTCCAGTTCTTTGTGTCCTCCCAGAAAAACTACATAAGAAAACAACAATCTTTTTTAACAGCAGCAATTACTTTGAATTTCATCCAAATGTGATTAATTCCTGATGGTTATCCATCTTACAGCCAGCCTGGAAAGGCTAGCTTGTGGGAAGGGCTCCAGGAGGGCCGGCTGTGATTTGAGGACTCAAGTTATATAATTTTTGTATCTAGGTTTGCTCATCCCACCTTGCAGGGGGGGAAGGAAAAAAGTCACAGGAAGAGCTTTAATTAAGCCTGATTTACAGCTTATAGGAAATATTTTCAAGCTGTTGGAAGAAAAACAACTCATAGTTATAGCCTTTGGCATGCTGGGTAGAGAGAGGAATTGTTGCTAACTCCTTCTTTCCTTTTTATTCCCTCTCCCCCTTTTGCACTTAGGAACAGTTTAGCTATCAGAGAAATGAAGGACTCCTGGGGCCTCCATCAGGTAGGAGGCAAATGCACTTCTTCCCAGGTGACTATTATTTACAAACCAGGATAAAGCGTGGGACTGAAAACAGCTGATTTTTGTGGGTGGAGGAACAAGCAGCAACAAGACCAAGTGAGTCAAACTCTCTGACTCCTCATACATACTCCCATCAAAGCGCTGGGCAGTTTGGCTAAGTGAGGATCTGAGGGTCATGTCAAACCCTGCCCCTGAGGAACTGCAGGGTTTTTTGCATTTCCCTGTGCCCTTGAAGGGAGCAGCACACAGAGCAGCTGTGTTATGGTGCTAAGCAGTGTTGCTTAAGAGAATCAAGCAATTTTTCTTCATTGCAGGTCAGGCAGTAGAGATCATTGACAAATTATAATATATATCACCTGTGTGGAAACCAGAGACAGACAGAAATTCTGAGATGATTTATTCAAAGCAGCCTTATCTCAGGGTTTCATCCTTCAGTGGCCAGGAGCCCTGAGGATTAAATTTCAGACTCTGTGATTGCCTTGCATGTGGGTAGCAAACTAGGTGGGAGCAGCCTCGTCTCCTGCTGCTACACACAAGGGGAGTTCGCTTCCCTTTACTGTATTGCAGTATCATTCCAAGTATTTTGATTTTCTTTCCTCAGACTCTTGCAGTTCTCTTTTTCAGGGAGTAAATAATTGCCAGCTGAATTTTATTAAAAAAAAATATTGACTGACTTTGTCATAGCTGGTACAACACAGATAGTGTTGTAAATCTGTCAAAAAAAAAAAACAAAAACGTACATGACAATGTGTCACTTTTCTGCTGAGCAGTAAATATTCCTGGAGAAAAAAGAAAAAAAGCATTTGACCTGGATCCAAGCCAGGAAGTTCAACTCCAGACTCTGAACACTGGATCCACCACCTCTGTGGGAACTGGGGCACGAGAAAGGGCTGATATAAAAAATTTGTAACTCCCCAAAGCATGTAGTGGGTAGGATCTGGCGTTGCTTGGATTTAGAGCTTTGGCATAGAAAGTAAAAAAGACAAGTTCCCAGCTGAAGAATGAAAATTGTATCATACTGATCAATGAAAAGACAAGAATGAAGGTTTAGAAGCATTCCTGTTTTTATCAGAATGAGCTGTGATATGATTTTTTTTTTGAAGTGCTATACAGATAAACAAATGAATATAACTGTTGGATGTGAAAGATTTTTAAAGTAATGTTTTAACATGCCAAGATCTGCAAACTCTTCATGCAGAAGCACATTTTGTCTGCTTTAACTTCAAAACAAGTCTCTTCTTGTGGAGAGGAAAATAAGTCAAGGGCTCTCATGTTGTATTTTGCTGATGCTGTAGTTTACAAATACTGCAAAGGGCTTTTCTGAAAAAATATGATGATTATCTGCTGCCTTTTATCCTAAGTCCACTTCTGCATAATTTATTTCTTCATACCTACTTCTTGTGCATCATCTCACTTTTGAATCCCTCCTAACACCATCTGTTTATCTCATTTTGTTCCCAAGATTTTGTATTTTACATCAAAGGCAAGCACTGCTATTTTAAGGAACTCACTACCTCTGTCTTCAGATCATGCTCCTGTTTAGCTCACTTCCCTCTCCCTCACTCTCAGATTCTGCTCTTCTGACTTCTTTCTTCCATAGCACTCTCCATAATGCACTTAACTGAGCTCAAATCAACAACCATGGTGCTGGGACTGCAATACCCAAACATGACAAAACACTTCATCAAGATTTATCTGTTACCAACTTGCTCTATGAGGAAAGCTGATGCTGCTGATGCACCTTGCCTCCACTTGCCAGATCTTACTGCTTGTGACTTGTGACAAAGCTTTAGAGCTGCAGTGGCTCTCTGTGGGATCTATTGGACAATGTCCAACTTTTCTGTTACTGTTTTCCTCAGACTCTTGTTCCAGCTCTTTCCCTCAACTTGCTCTCCTTGCTGTGTCCATGCACCATTAATTAGCCTGTTAATGAGTCACATTTGAGGTGGAGTCACAAGACAGTCATAGAAATACCTGGGCTCTGGATTGCTGGTAGGGTGTCACACCAGGATTAGCACATTCAGACAAAATTCATAATTAACATGCAAGAAAAACACTTGTTATGCTGGAACAAAGACCAGCCATCTTGAATGGCATTAATTGACATTTAGACATAAGCAAAGATGGGTCTGCAAAAGCTCAGACCTGAATTGAGTCTCACCAAGACAAGGAATCACCGCATTTGTGACAATGAGAATCCTGACTGCATGTGGGAGGCATGGTTACCAAGTGATTGTCATCTTCTCTTTTGAAGGAATTATCCATGGAAGAAGGTGAAGATCAAAATAATTTGCCTGGCATAATGGAAGAAGGGATGGTTTTCCCCTCAAAGGCAAGAGAGGGCACCAAGCTGAATTACAGTTGGGGTGTTGAAAACCTGATGTTGAATTGCCCAGTGTCAAGGTGGGACTAACTGGTGGTTTCTTGCTTTTATCAATAGGATACTTACCCATTTAATATCTTTAATGTATTTATTTGTCTTTCCTAATTTTCTTTGTACTGTATACAATATCCTATAGGATCTTGACTTCCCACTTACTGCCTAGATGTGAACCCCCGGAGTCTCAAAGGATCTTTAGGTATGTACTTACCTATACACAGTGTAACACTCCAACTACTATTTCTTCAAATCCTCACATCTAGCCTAAATGTTGAGACAGATTCATGGATATCTTATAAACACATAAGATGGGCTTGCTTATGCTTTAAAGGCAAGGACATACATTTCACTGGTTTTTCTCAGTTTTCACAGCTTTATCTATAGGTTTTGGTTTTTGGAGGAATTAAAAGTAAGTATATATCTTGTGTGAATTTTTATTAATTCTATGAGAGGATCTGCTGTTGTTTTTGGTAATTAAAAGTCTTGGTAATAACACGCATTGATCTTTATAACATATTCTCTGCATGACTGGGGCAGTCATTTTCTGGTACTTTCAGATGATTATTAATTACTAAACAAGACAGAAAATAACTTCAGACCTTAATAGTTACTAGCTGAAGGTTTTTAAAAGAACTGATGCATCCAAATCTGAGACTGTGGTTCAAAATAATCCTGCTCAGCTGTAGGACACCCCTACAGCTCATTAGACAGTATCTCCAGATGCTCAAAATCTGGCTCTTCCTTGTGACAAGGAGTTCCCCAGATTTAAGTCCATTTTCAGGCCAAGAACAGAATCTTGCTTCTGCCAATGCCTAGAGGATCTGACCCTGTTGGCTTCCTTGGACCAATATAAAGTCTGAGCACCCCACAACAGATGCACTCTCCACACTGCAGGATCCTGAAGATGCCTTACTTTAGACTTTGGATAGCAAAGGTTTCTTTATATCTTAGAGGCTGAATGCTTCTAAGGTGAAAAATTATTGTCCCAGTGGTCTAAGGTAAGTTAGTTTGTGCAACTCTCTGATCCTTTCACCAGCACAATTACAGCCTGAGATACAGAGCACAGAGAATTAAATCAACTTTGAATTTTCTGTGCCTGAAACATTGTCCTTTTTGGTCTTGATCATTTTATGCATAACAATCCCTAACTCATATCACATGAAATGGTTTAACAGAGTGATATGTGCTCTGATGAAGTTAACTTCAGCAACCCACAGGTTGGGAAATGACTTCAGGTACAGTTAGGCAAAGTGCTTGAGAAAGAGCCCTTCCAGTTAAAACAGCAAGGGACATTCCTTGATCTGTTAGAGTTCATCTCCTGTTTCATCCCTTTAGTATGCCAGAATGATGGTCTGTTTTCTTCTCCAAATGGCCATGAGCTGAGGGAGGATCTCAAACTTGCTGAGATGAGGGATACAGTCATTTGGGCCAGGCCTGGTGGTGCTAGATGAGATTCAGAACACAGATTTATGATTTAAGGCTGTTTTTTAAAAAGCAGCAATGGCAATTAACCACAGGAAAAGGATATAGGAGAAACGATAAATATTACCTTTCTTTCTTTGTCAGACTGATGCTTTGTCCCAACCTTCCTCCTTGTAGTCACTATAGTAACTGAAATGCCAGAGCTAGTAGGAAGCATCGAGATAATCTGGCAGTCCTTTCTACGAAGGAATCTTAGTAGCGAACATAAAGTGCAAACCAAGAAGAGCCTATCAACATTGTCAGCAAAAGTTGAGTCCAAAAGAAACCCTAACTATCAGCAAGCAGATGAGGTCAGCGTCAGGTACTTCCCAGTCAGCAAATGCTCCCACCTTAACGGAGCGGGGCACAGTTACACCCACCTGACAGCTGGCTCCAGGATGCAGAGTGCACAGGGCTGATTCTGAGCACTGACACAGAGATGGCCAGCCTTTGGAGACAGCGGGGATGCAGAGCAAAAGGAAATGCCCTGTTCAAAACTGTGCATTGGACAAAACCTTTCTCATCCCGCATAGCAGTTGCTAATGTATGCCGTCCTAGGGAAACGAGTGGAGGAACTTCTGCCCTGCCCACAGAAAGGCATTTAGCCAACTACAAACTTTCTCCTACCCAGCAGTCATGTAAGAAGTAGTAATGAGCCTGAGCAAAGCTCTGTCCCGCTTCCGCCTCACCGTTCCCAGGGCCTCAGCTAACAAGCTTAAAATTTAAGGCGAGTACCTGCACTGCAGCACCCTGTAGGTGCTTAGCTGGTATCACCAAGGTCTCTTCTATTATTATCTCCATTTCAGTAAGGCCACTGGGACATGATGTTTGATTAAAGGAGAGAGCTGATTTTAATCCAGAGTGGTGATATCTCCCTGTACTGAGCCCCTCCTCTCAGAGCTGCCACAGCCAGCCCTGCCACTCATTAGCAGAACAAGCCATGCTGGTTAACGTGTTCATACAAGCCTAACTTCTGGAGCATTGCTTCTAGGGATCTATCTCTTACACCTGGGTTAGCAAAACTTCTCTGCACTCTCCCGTGAGTGAGGGAGCCATCATTAACCACAGTCCCTATCTGATGTATGCTCAGGATTTTTTGCCTGACATTAATATCTAAATGAAAATAAAAACACGAGTCACAAACCAAGTTCAGCCTTAGTCCTTTTACACTATAACCTCTATCTTGATGATAAGAGGAACTTAGAACAGTTCTCACAGAAGGACTCCACTCTGGTGCTGTATAATTATAGCAATGTTTGACCTCTTACTTGTGTTTCTGGAAATTTAAGTTACTGGACTAACTTTTCCTTTTTGCTCCACCTTTTTTTTTTTTTTTTTTTTTTTTTTTTTTTTTTTTTTTTTTTTTTTTTTTTTTTTTTTTTTTTTTTTTTTTTTTTTTTTTTTGTGGAAAAA